TAACTGTTGTCCTTTTGAAGGTTAAGATTAATAAACAATAAAGTAATGCACAAAAACGTAGGGTAGTTTTTCCTGTTATACATGTTAATGTAACCTTTTTTGCAGCTTGTCAAATTCGCGATAATAACATACACCGTGATTAAAACTTTTTTTTAAAAATCGCAACAAGAAAACATAACACAATCATAGGTATATTATTGTAACTCTTATGTTTAGTACTGTCAACCAATTCAGAATTATCGAGAAATAACTGAATGCAGTGGCTACGTTAGCACAACAGCTAGCATCGCGATTTGCTTTCAGTGTTTATTAAAGCCTCGAATAAAGCTGAATTAACGCGATGTAGCTTGAATGACAGACGGGGGTCAGAAACGACAGTGGAATGAGTGTGTGTTGTGTGTGTGTTGATCCGGGAAGATAAAGTTAGATCTGTTCCTGTAGGTTAAAGGTCATACTTGAAGGGTTAAAGCTCTCAGCACATACACAGAAGGATCTTCTCCTCATCAGCTCCTCACGCGTGGATTACAGCACAAAAGTCATATCTCAAAGACGTATAGTTAATTAAAAGATGCATTTTAAAAGGGAATATTTATTTGGTGATTATTTTGGATCTGTGTGTGTTGTATTTACATGTTCACTACTCAGCATAGCATGGATAGCGTTAGCCTGCTAAATAACTGTGTTAGTTGACCACTATAATCTTCAGTTGTCTTGTTATATGTATGTATTATTCCTAAATAACCCATTTATACGCATACAATCGCCTGTAAGACTTTGTTTTATGATTTGTTGATATTTTTGTTATGCCAGCGGTTGCGATGCTAACGCGTGTTAGCAGGCCGGCTAATAACAGTGCTAACGTTCTGTTGAATTTTTCATCCCAAACAATTGCTGCAAGCACAGTGCTGTTTGCTAACAGAAAAAGGGTTATTCTTACCCTTAATGCGCGGGTTATTATCCAAATCCCGCGGCGTTACGATAAATTATTGTAAAGTGACGGCTCACTGCAGCTAAAGGAGGTCAGAGTTCGCGACCCGCTCAGAGGAGGCCCGCACATCTGCGCATGCGCGAACGTATTCGAGGCCGTCAGCATTGATTTTAGTGAAGGCTGAATTCAAGTTTATTTTGATAGTATGAGGAACTAGACATCATATATATTGTGACCCTTAAGGAAGTCAAAATAAATATTGCCTACTGATAAACTGCATACTAAACGGTCTTAGTTTAGCCTACTGGGTGATTTGAGCTTAGCAAGTAACATTTATAGTAGCCCACAGAGCTATGCTAACGGATGCAGTTTTCAATGTTTGTATCGATTAAGATTAATAATAGTAACACTTGGGGCGAGGGACAGATAGATAGATAGACAGACAGACAGACAGACAGACAGACAGACAGATAGATAGATAGATAGATAGATAGATAGATAGATAGATAGATAGATGGATATATAGATGGATATATAGATGGATAGTTAGTTAGTTTAATATATACAGACCAAACTCAATGTTAGAAATTAAAGTGATCTAAAATTTAGAAATAACTTTTTTTATATATTGCATCATTTTACTTGGAAAATATGTTTTTGGTTATGCATTTTATGTCTTTGTTACATAACACGTTTTTCCCTGTTTATTTCAGTACTGTAAAAGTAATTTTTTAAATAAAATTTTATTCATTTTTAATCACATTTTTTATTGTAAAGTAATGCATTATAAGCTAATTTAGCATAATTTATTTGAATGCTCATATTTTCATTTTTAACAATTATTGAACTTTTATAAATAATTATATATATATATATATATATATATATATATATATATATATATATATATATATATATATATATATATATATATATATAAGGTTTCTAAATAAATTGTCTATAAATAAAAATCAGAGCTTAAATAGCTGTATTTTTATGAATTTTCTCTAAAAATGTCCATGGATGCCTCAGCGCTCCTTTTCAGCCCCCGATTGTGGTGGTAACACAAAATGTTGTATGAAATGAACAATTGTTTTCCTAAAATCATTATTATTCCTTCAAATTCTACATATAATGTAAATTTGCTCTAAAACTATTTTTACACAAAACATTACGTTACAAATCGTTTAATATTATGATGACAATTTAGCATACTTTAACATTTTAGTTTTGTAAAATTATCATGAAAAATTTTCCATCTAATGCTTAAACATTCCAAAATTAATTATAACAAAACTTCTTTCAACATCTATAGCACATTTTTGAGAAAAATTAACGTTTACTTAAACCACTGCTTTTAATGTCCATCCCACTTTTTCCATAAATCACCACTACCCATAAATATATCATATTTATGTAAATTATAATACAATCTGAATTTATTTCAAAACTCCTTTCATAAATGGTAGCATGTAATCTGTGTTAAGAAAAAACATAGATTGTTAAATCCAATGTGTGAATCATTCATAAAATCATATGAATGTAAAAAGCATGCAAAGTTTTCCTTTATCCCACAAGCAACTCGATTTTTAAATAGCAATGGACTATCAAGTCAGCTGATCTGACGTGTGAAAACATCCTGCTAAAACGGGGGTTTCATGGCCCTTTAATGCGTTTTATGTACGTTGTATTGTGTGTTGTATTATGATGTTGTTTATGTGAGGAACACCTGATGATTATATTTCTAATAAGTTTCCCCAATTTAAATTAATGAAGTAACCTTCCCTTAAAAAGCAAGTAATGCTTTTTTTAAAAATACACTCAAGACAAATGTTGCATGTGATATTTTCTTTCAGTAGACCCCAGAACTCCCCTGCTGCCCCCTAGTGGTCCTTCGACCACAGTCCGAGATATGAAGTTTACATAAGACAAAGACGTTACATCTCATTACATTACATTATTTATTAAAAATTATTTGCTCTTTACATTTTTCTTGGGGCATAGCTTACTCCCTTGAAATCCTCAAGATATTACTTCAGGACGTAAAACTTTCTTGAGATCTGCAAAACTGTGGGACATCGTAGTAAACTAGTGCCATGATGACCAAAAATAACAATTATATTTACTTTTCTAAAAAGTGGATCATATGGTTAAAAAACAAAACAGTGGTGTATCTAAAGTTTTCCATAATCAGAACATTCTCACAAAATGTAAACAAACATTCAACACACAAATGTGATTGACATCGAACAGAACCACAAAACAATCCTTTTCTTGGAGCGGTTACACTTCAAATGGTGAAAGAAAGAAAAAGTAAAAAACATCAGTGGCTTGTTGTGCTTGAAATGGAAAAGGACCTTAGTGAAAACTGTAGAGAATATAATCAGGTCATCATACTCGTGTTCCTGAACAAGGTGCATTAGAGTATTTAATGTGTGTTACGTCTTTCCCTGATAAGAGCACTAGATTTTTCCTCTGTATTCACAGCCGGTGTGCTATATTGTTTTATAAAGTAAAAGTTAAAAACAGTGCTGAGTTAGCCAGCCTGGCACTGTGTCTTCACTACTACCCCATGAGGCCATTAAACATCCTGAACTAATTTTTTAAATACGCCTGCATTATATTACCATTTACAAAATATGTACACTTCCAGTTCTGTCCAGTACACAATGTTTAAAACATCAGTTGAAATGCCTACTTTTTACAAAAGAGTTTAAGATTATTAAAAACATTTTTGTAACTGAACTGAAAAAAAAAAAAAAAAAATCAAATAAAAACAAAGAGCTTCTTAGAGGAAACATGAGCAGAATGAATATGTATAAATTGTGCATACAATTATTCATACATTCTTACATACATTGTTTGGAAAGTTCTTCCTCTGCAAAATGTCAGATTTCATGCATAAATTGTTTGCAAAATTGTTATTCGAACACATTTAGCATTTAATATAAATGGTTATTCTGTAAATTGCTTATTTATAAAATTATTCGTATGAAAAATGTTGTGTATAATGCACAAATTGTAAGCAAACGCACATATTTTTCATTAAAAAGCATTCTGGGACCTACCTAATGCCAAAATTGTTCATTAAATTAATATGCTTTTTTATATAATGCTTAAATTAATTAATTGTTCATTAAAAACTGGCATTTAGTCTTACAATTTTATTCTCACATACTTTGCATGAGTCATTATGTAAAATGTATGTGTGAACTGTACTCAAATTTAATACATTGACTTGTCTCTGCCTATAAAGACAAGTATATATCATTACATTCAATATATGTCAAATCGATTAATTTGAAAATTGTTGCATGTAATCCATGAATTGTTGCTTAAATAATACCCATGCTTAAGTTTAGCAAATTGTGGACAAAACTAAATCTAAAGACACAATTTATACGTAGTCACAATTTATACGTAGTTGCCGTAGCCTGCTTATGCTTCCAGAAGAAGCCTGGTAACTTTTAAGCCTTCTTTCCCAGCATTCACAGTGGAATCCAAAAATCTCCCATAATGCACCATGCCAGACTGCGCCACATGACCTGGCACCAGACATTCCTCGTGTCATACTTGCTCATCCACATTCAGACTTGACTATGAATCACACCAGTGGCCAAAAATCCTTTTATAAACTTTCATCAGGCGACCGGCGGCACCAGCAATTAGATTTAATGGCAATTGAAATGCGACTCAAGGATAACCTAATGGTCAGGAGTTAAAGACAAACATCTTGAACTCAAGACTAGGCACTTTTAACTCCTGCACACTTTGTAGGCTGGAATTATTGTAAATGCCAAGCACCGAAAACAAGCTGAGAGGCAGTGTTTCCTAAATGTAACATTAAGAATGAAAAATAATGATGGATTAATACCTCACATCTTTTTTTGTTTGCAGGCAGTCTTGATTAAAACGACCTTCATTAGGGTGCTTAAGGTTAGGATTAATGCCTGAACTACATCTACCAGCATTCTTGGCATTAAACTGGGATTTTCGCATCTTCAAACCTCAAACCGTGCACACAGTGGAGAGACCCGGACATTTATTTATGATTTAATCCAATCAAGACCCGTCAAAGAATCATGGCCTCCTGAAATGCCTCGATCCACCTGAAAAAAGCATGAATGAATATTAAATCAATGTTTTTTTTATTGTAATTATAAAACAAACTTTATAGAGTGCCAAAGTCAGGAAATAAAAGTAAAAATGAGGAGATTTAGTTTTAACAGTAACTAATTATCGTTTGAGCACAGACCTGTCCTGGGTTTTGAGGCTATTAACGGATTCCTCATAACCTAATTATATTGATCTGAACATTAACATGAGTTAATATTATTTTTATTATTATTATGTTTGAGGTTCATAGAACCGGAGGTTTCTGAGACTTTTATTTCAGTATGTTGATGTGCTTCTAACTGAAACTAAATACTGAGTAAGGGGCAGGGACTTCTAGTTGTAACATTTTTAAATTACTTGTACATACACCTCATCTCCCTTGCCATAATATGCAATTCATGTATGTTGTGCGTCACACTCCCTCACCATAGTTACTCTCTTGTGGCTCACCATAGTATGCAACTCACTTCCATCACCATACTATGCAACTCGCATATGTGTACCGTATCGTAACCTATGATGTCAGAAAACCCTCAATACATTGTAACTAGGCCCACACGGAATCTGTGCGCTGATTTTTAGCCCATCACCATTGAGTCCATGGAATTTACTTGTGTAAATGTGTGTACATTTATATTTATTCAGTTTTTAAATTATTTTTTACTAATATTACTGTGATATAATGATAATAATATTAAAACGTTCATATCATTTATTTACAACACAGTTTGTAAAGTCATATACTTTAGACTTTTAGTAGATATATTATATAAGAGACTTGCTTTGTTTACAAAGTGGATCTAGCTGGATTTGCATTGTAAACATAAAAAAAAAGTTACAAAGTTTTTTTTACTTCATATATTTAGTTTTTTAGTTATGATACTCCTAAAATCATTTCACATAAATCCGCAGATCTTTGACAAAATTCACAGCAGAAATAACAAAAAAAGTCCACAGATTCTGTCTGGCCCTAATTGTAACCCTCAGTACATGGTTTCTAAACCAATACCCAGTCATCTTCATCCGCATGGTGATGCTCCATAAAAACAAGTCATTTTGATACCCCTAATCTAAATATTTGCATATCATTCTATAATATTACTGAAATTAATATAAAAATAGAGTAAACATATATTTACCCACATTTACATAAGCAAATCAATAGATTGAATAATGAGCACAAAAATCAGCAAATTTCTGTGGGCACATATTCTGTGTGGGCCTACTTATTTGTTTTTCTGGACCCTTTTTACATTTTCAGATTTCTTAGCAGTGGAAGTCATCATAGTCAGATAATCTTAGTGCACAGCGAATGGAAGAGTACAACAAATAATTGCATTGCTATTTGCTCAAATAATTATCAAAAAGAAAAAAATACAGTAAAACGATAAATTATATAATACAAAGTATTATATTTTTTTAATGTACATTAATTTAAAAAAAATCCAAATTTTAAAAACTTTCAAGAATGTCAGATGCTGATAGTCATTAAACGCAGAATATAGTAAAAAGAGTCCATAAATGTCTTTAAAGATGAAAAAAATTAATGAAAGAAACACTTCAGGAACTAACATTGCTGAAAAAAAAAAAGTGGACATTCAGTATGTTTTTGGTGATCGCTTGTTTGGGTACCTCTGTGCAGTGGGAATATCCTCAGCTCTAAAGATGTAGTAGAGTGTGTTTTTATGGTAGAGTTTAAACTGCAGTTTTTGAGCAGGTCCTGTCTTCTCCTCTCGGAGGAAAAACCCCAGCAGTGGCTGACTCTCCAATGCTGCAACATCCTGAAAACCAAGGCATTTATTACCACATGATGGCTTTCATTACGTCAAAACACATACTCGTATGCATACTCTTTTGACTTTATAAAGCATTTAATGAATACAGAGGAATGACTGACTAAAATAAAGGAGCTATTAATGTCATTCAAGTTTTTAGAATTGCAAAAGTAGTTCTGTTGGTTTCAACATAAAAGATTTTCTGAAAAAAGCAACCTTTTCCCCAATAAACAACACTCTAGATATACTATACTTTTCTTGTTTTATTAAAATGCAATTTAAAATACATTTATCAGTCGAAACACTCCTGTTATCTTTCTATCACTTATACTAACTACTAAAGGTCTAGTCTAGTCACTAAAGCACAGGTCTCAAATCCAGTTCCTGGAGAGCTGCAGCACTGCACAGTTTAGTTCCAACCCTATTTAAACAAACCTGATCAAACAAATCAAGTCATTTAGGCTTGTTTGAAACCTACAGGTAAGTATCAAATCAAATCAAAGCTTATTTCTAAAGCACACTTAATTAAAACCTTGGGTTGACCAAGGTGATGTACAATAGCAGTAGCAGGTAAAAACAGCAATATAAAACAATAGAAACAACAGTAAAAGTTTCCAAGAAAGAAGCAATTTAGTATAGCCTGGAACCATCATTAGGGAATGGTAAATGCACTCAAAAAATTATTTAACATCTATTTAAAAATAGATAAAGTGGGTGATATTCAAATTTTTAATGGTAACTTAATCCATAGTTTCAAACCCACAACTGCAAAGGCTCTATCGCCCCTGTGTTTGAGACCAGATCGAGGTATTTGCAATAGATGGCAGTTGAAATTTGATTTAAGCGATCGGGTTTGGGCCTTAGTAGTGATCAGATCAGAAAGATATGGTGCTTAATAAACAAAGAGTAACATTTTATAGTCTATTCGGAAGTGAACCATAAATCAACCAACGTAGTGATCGCAATATTGGTTTTACTTATTTGCTTGTCAAGTTTTAGACTACTGTCTAGTAGAAACCCAAGGTTTTTAACCTCAGAGGTGTGGTAACAGTTTAATACACTGAGATCGGTAGGTTGTTTGCTAGAATTCTGTGGGGGACCAATAAGAATATCTCGGGTTTTATCTGCATTCAAAAGCATAAAGTTATCAGTGAGCCACAGTTTGATTTCAGGAAGACAATCTTCTAATCTCTCGAGGGTTAAGCTATCATTTTTTGGATCAGTATAAAGCTGTATATCATCTGCATAGCAGTGATACATAATTCCAAACTTTCTCATTATAGTTCCTAAGGGCAGCATATGTAACGAGAATATCTGGGGTGCAAGAATCGATCCCTGAGGAACACCGCAAGAAAGAAAGGTATCTAGGCTCACTGAAAAGCTTCAATTTGATAGAAAGGACTCAAACCAATTCAGAACTGTGCCCGAGATACCAAGTGCTCATCAACAAAAATCAAAAGCAGAGCTTAAGTCGAGCATCACTAAGGCCATTGTATCACCATTATCAGTAGTCTAACTCAAAGTATGTTGGAGTTGGGTTGGAACTAAACTGCAGAGCTGCAGCAGAGTTTGACACGCCTGCCCTAAAACAACCAGTATCTGGTGGTAAGTCTCAAACATTCAAATCGTTTATTCAAGGGATTTGTTCAAAACAGCTGATTCATTTAGTAACTAAAGCAGGTGACTGACTCAAGTGACGAATCACTGAATTGCTGACTCAGACGGTTTGTTTAAAAACAAATTCATAAATGAAACAACTGTCACTCTGAAATGCAGAAATTATCTGCTCCAGCTTTGTTTGAAACTATTTGAATCATCAAAGAACAAAAAACATTATTTTAAATCAAGTAAATATAAGTTAAATATAGATATTTGCGATCAACTCACATTTTTATATTCGTATTAAAAACATACATGGATATTCAAATATAATTGAATTATTACAACTGTTCTCTAATAGGCTTCATGACACAGAAAATGTTTTTGGGGACACTTTTGTTTGCATCTATGTTACATGTGTGAATTAAGCAAATGCCTATATTGACAAGCATTGCATTATAGGTGCACGTTTTATAAGTTTTTGTTTTTGTTGAAAATCGAACCCGGATCCTTAGCTGTGCCATTTCGAACACTGTTCAAACAGCAATTTTGCTATTATTAAAGACCATAAGTATCAAACACAACTTTTTCACTTTAAATAGTTTCAATATACTAATATAATATAATATAATATAATATAATATAATATAATATAATATAATATAATATAATATAACTGGGTGAGGCAGACATGTAGTGCTGTCGCCTCACAGCAAGAAGGTAGCTGGTTCGAACCTCAGCTCAGTTGGTATTTCTGTGTGGAGTTTGGATGTTCTCCCTGCCTTCGCGTAGGTTTCCTCCGGGTGCTCCGGTTTCCCCCACAGTCCAAAGACATGCGGTACAGGTGAATTGGGTAGGCTTAATTGTCTGTAGTGTATGAGTGTGTGTGTGTGTGTGTGTGAATGTGTGTGTAGATGTTTCCCAGATATGGGTTGCGGCTGGAAGGGCATCCGCTGCGTAAAAAACTTGCTGGATAAGTTGGCGGTTCATTCCGCTGTGGCGACCCCGGATTAATAAAGGGACTAAGCCGACAAGAAAATGAATGAATATAATATAATATAATATAATATAATATAATATAATATAATATAATATAATATAATATAATATAATATAATATGATTATTTAATAATATAATAAAGATTACATCAACTCACATTTTCAAATGATTCATGATACTGATATCAAGATACATTTTTTTTTCAAGATTTATTTTTAACAAGATGGGTTGAGAATTTAGAAATAGACAAGTTCCTTTTCATTGTTTTTGAAATGCTGCATATTTCTTCATAAAATGAAAATATATTTTGTCAAATAACACAATTCAATGGCAATTTTAAAACAAATTCCAAATTAAATAAGAGTGCGCATGTGTTTTTTGCGTCAAAAGAAGCAACTTTTGAATGGCTTACAAACGTCCGCCAGCGTTTTGCACGCTGATTATGTGCCATACGCCCCTCATGTTTTAACCGCCTGCTGCGTTTTGCATTTTGCCATTGTGCTCGCAGTTGAAAATAGTCAACTCCGAGTGGAAAAAGAATGTTACGTCAGTCGCGTTTTTTGCTTCTGGCTGCTGGCACTCCTCTAATTTAAATGAAGTTGGAGCTTCCTCAATATCAGCATCCACACTCCTGTTCACATTCTTGTTGTCGATCACTGCATTTGCGCATATAAGCTAGTTTTAAGTAAAAATTACATCCCTGCTGTAACATGCATCATAATTTGCTTAATTGATTTACCACACATTTAAAGAAATTTTCAACCCTAATATAGTCAGCTATTTTTTTTTACCATAGCATGTCAACATTCATATTATGAGCTAACACTGATAAATTATATAAAGCTTGTTTCTTTAACAGTTGATAAGTTGTTGAATAAATTCAGCTTACTTCACTGGCAGCATAAGTGTAGAGGACTTTGTTCTTAATGACAAACCACAGCCTCTTCCATGGTTTCTTGTGGCCTTTAGATCTGTGCAGATATCCACTCATGGAGGAGTTCTCAGTGTTGGCAGACACCTGTGAGAACGATGTCATATTAATAAACTATAAAAATGACATTAGTGTTATTTTGGAAACAGCAGTTTTTATTCTGTTAAACGCAAGAGAAGATCTTTAGAGAATTGCTGTTAGATAGTACCCACTGGAAAAAAGTCATCATGATGGGTACCATCAACCAGCATTCTTCAAAAGAAATTCTTTGTATTCAACTTAGAGTTGAATCAAGTTATTGAGCAAGTGTAATGTTTAGTGACATTTGGGTGAACTATCCCTTTAAGTATTGTTTAACTTTAGATTACCTCCTTGAGAGCTGATGGAATCTTCTTCTGTTTTCTAGAAAAAGCGAATGTTGAGCCCCGCCCACTAGGGGAAAAGGTCACATTGGATTGGTCGCCTAAGAAACAAAAAAAGCATGGTTGAAAAATAAAAAAAACATTTGCTGTCACACAACTTGTTTGCCAGATTGTTGTAAGTAAATAATAATATGCGGTTGCAATAGCATATTGTGCGATTGCCAGGTTTTCACCTGTCAAAAGAGTTTTCAGAGTCCTCTGGGTCACATTCCGATTTAGTGTTTTATCTGGGGTTTGATTATTTACATTTTACATTTATTCAGTTAGCAAATTCTTTTATCCAAAGTGACCTACAAGTGAGTATAAAAGAAGCACTGCAAATCATCCTCAACATCAGCATCCACACACTGCTACTGCGCATTTAAGCCAGATTCCAGTAGCTGAGTAGCTGTATATAAATGCTCAGTCTCAGCTACTAAAGGCATACTTCAAATGAAGTTCTTTTTTGCTTTTCATTTAAGGCCAGAAAGAAGATGGAAACGGCTAAGTGACTGGTTGGTATGGTTTGCGAGTCTGAACTTCATGGATGACGGCCTTCCAGAACACATCCACTTATTGCATAATCTTCATAGATCAATGGCAGCTCAAAGGTGTTTCAGATCAAAATGAACTCCCCAAAAGCTTCGCATTGGTAAGGTGTTTTAAACTGTTGAAGCAAAGTCAAAACAAACTTGTTTTTTAGCTCAATTTTGTTCGAAATGACATCATTTCAGTTATTTTTTCAATTTTCTTTGAAGTATTCTGAAGGCTTAAGTTTTATCTATTTGCTTATATTTCTTATTACAGAGTTACTATGCAGTTGTTTATTTGTTCAGAGTGACTTCAGCTTGTTAACACTCACTCAATTATTTGGGTATCTGATAGAAACAGACTGTCCACACTGTGTAATGCAACTTTTCAGATCCAATTTGTGTCACTTTTGTATACCTATGCTTAAAAAACTGTTGACATTTTTGTCAAATTGGTAAAATAAATAACATTAGATTTCAATAGAATTTCAAGAGTACAACTGTATTCAACATCAGTAGATCAGGAGGCATAATGGTCTACATTAGATCATTTTTCATGCACAATCTAAAATAAATGAAGTAATACAACTTTAATGACCGATAGCTCCTCGCCTTCCTCTACATAAGCAAAGCTGTATACCTTGACTGCATGAACCTTTCAGCTTTCAAGTTTCCCACTCTAAGCCAAATGTCAAATTCCATAACTTTTCCCTGACTAAAATGCTAAATTTCCATAAAGCATCTGACTTATTTTTTATTTTCCAACTTAAATATGTTTAAACTTCTGTTCTCATTCATTTCCATAACTTTTTACCCAAACACAACAGCGTGTTATGCTGCTTGATAATATTATAATTTTAATGTATTTTCATAAACATGCTGGTGTGTTGCACAATTAGTTTGCGTTTTGGTAGTTTCAGTGAGCATTTACTTCCATTTTTTTTAAAGAAACAAATGAATAGGAAGGCTAACACAATAGCAAAAAAGAGCTCACTTCCACATTGCAAAATAAGGTGTATTGTGAACAGAAAAACAGGCAGCAGGCAGACAGACACCAACTAATGTAGTATTTTAACAGGTACAGCTTGATGACTGTATTTGACTTAAGTGTATTTTGACTTCAAACCACACTGAAAAAATAGATTAACTATAACAAAATGCATGCGACTCAAAATAAATAAATAAAAAAAGTTTAGAAAATTGTTATCTTGATAAATGAAAAGTAAAATAAAAAAGTCGCTGATATTTCATGACTGACAAAAAATACAAAATTTTCCCTGACTTTTAAAGTCTGGAATAATCCTTTTAAAATTCCATAAAATTCCAGAAATTCCATGACCCGTGGAAACCCTGGCTTTACTTATTTTTATTAGTTTTAAGTACCAAGGTATTTAAGCAACTTATTTTTTTAAGAATAAAAAAAAAATGGGACCCAACTAATGTTTACAGCATTCAATTGTGATCAATGAAGCTTAGGTATGTTAGGTTTACACGCAAGGAGCAATGAGATTCATTCTTGCATGTCACAGGATACATTCTGCAAAAACCAGTCTCATCTGTTTGTCATGCAGGTATGGTTAAGATTCTGTTTATGTTCTCTGATCAATGATTAGACGTAGAAAAAAAAGGCAATTCTAAACTGTTAACAAAGCAATCCTGACTCTTCCGAGGACTTGGATTAAACTGCTTGTTTCACGACCAATAAATTTTTATATCTATTTATAAACATTTTGAGGTGTCAAAGTTTTAGGTAAACATACTTTCAATGAAGGAAGAGAAGCCTCTCAGTTTTGAGTATTTAATTATCTATTTAATTGATTGTTTGATTCCTGATTTTTCACTGTTTCACAATAAGTCTTTTATGTTTTCACAAAAGCCTGGAATGAGATCCCACAACATCTAAAAACGATACCAACTGAGACTTTTTAAAAAACCACATGTTCATCATCTGATGGTCAACTATCACTGTAGCCACTGAGATAGTAGCCTGCTTTTCTCTATTTTATATGTTTGGTGATTGTTTGTACTGTGTTGATTAAGGGTGTCACGATTTCGATTTTTAATGCTCAACTTCGATTATCGAATCGAAAAAAAGAATCGTCGATTCTGCCACGCCCCCATGTCACTTCAGCTTGGCTTGCCAAGCGGGAAAAAACAGGCTTGTTGAAGTGCTTGTTAAACTGCAGACGCAGGAGACCCGTCGACAGAGCTTAAACCCTCTCCTCTTTCAATGAAGTCGCCGGTGTGGAAGTATTTTGGATTCCCAGTGAGTTATGTTGACAACGTTCGTGTTGTCGACAAAAAACAAAAACAAAACACAGTTTGCAAGCTCTGCTATGTACGTATTACGGTTGGGTTGATAGACGATGGGCGCATCGCAATCCTCCTCACCGCACCCGTTGCACATCCGCTCGCGAAAAATACACACTCAGGCCCTGTTTACACTAATATGACTTTGTTTTTAAATGGCATTTTAGAACGACAACGATCCATATCCACACTGGCGTATAGCATTTATGAGCAGCCCTCCTTCCTCACCACTGCTGAAAACACACATCACGTGACCACACACACTCATTCACACACAGATACAGATGCACACACAGACAGCGGGTCCAGGCAGTCAGCGGATCAGTAGACTGCTTCAATCTTTACTTTTACACTTGTACTTAGTCATCTTAGCGAACACCTTAGATACTGTTGGCTGGTTCCAGTTGGTTGTGCACCTTTTTTACCGACGCCATTATAACAACACAGATCACTGCCTATTCACGAGTCCCGCAGAAAAAAGTGATTGACAGGTGGTAATTATGTGTGTAACTTACCTTTATTCATTTACTGTATGATTTGTTTATGGGTAAAACAAAGACCATGCAAGTCAGGTAGTTTAGACGGTAGGCTACAAATAATTAATTCGTTATTAATTAATTAATTAATTATTCATAATCGAAAATCGAATCGTGACTTTAAAATCGAAAATGTAATCGAATCGAGGATTTGGAGGATCGTGACACCCTTAGAGTTGATGGATGAGATGTCTGTCTGTTTAGCAGAGCAAGAACCTGCTGAAAAACAGCATTCATGCTGAGTCAGGCCCGATTATCTTTTAATCTTTTCATGTTTAAAAAATAATAATTAAATAAATAAGTTTGTATTGTTTTCCTATTGACCTTATTCTTTGCGTACAAGCAGGCGCAGCCATTTGAATCTCTTTGACGTAGACTTCCGGTTTCATTCACTTCCATTGATTTTTAGATGTTACAAACATCTCGCTCTGCTGCTTGATGTTGCACACTGATATTTTCCTATTATATTATTCTGCTTTGTCTGTATAGTCATGCACACACTTGTTGGAAGAGCAAGTAGTTTGACCGTTTTAGCTATTTCTACCTGGCAACTGAATCAAAAGTTCTAAAACAACGCAAAAACGAGCGCACTTCCGCATTGAAGAATAAGGTCAATACTTTGTTCGGAAAAAAAAATCCAATAAATTATGTTTTAGGGGAAAAAAGTATCTTCATTTGTGTTCTGAAGATGAACAAGTAAATAAGGACAATTTTTATTTTGGGGTGAAAGGACCGTTTAAGCATAAGAACTGAACACTAAGCATAACCACATTAAAAATAGAACAATAAACACTATTACTACTATAGATGATGGAGCCATGGAACAGTCCAGAGATAGATAAACAACAGAAATCACATACCCTTGTGCTGTAGTTTAATATAGCAATGGTCACACACTCTTGCCAGTTGATTCTTCAGGTATTCCAGGTAGAATTTATTAGACGAACATGCCTGACACACCACCTGTGGCCAAAGTAAACAAATCTCTTATCATGATGTAAATAATCTCAAGCCCTGATTATGATATGTACATCAACATAGAACAATTTCTGTAAATTCATTTTTATTATTATTAATTATGATTTATCGTTTTACAATATAACAATCAACACAATTAACAAAAAGAAGATTGAGCATTAAATAGCATCAGAGTATACAAATATAAAAACATCTACAGTTGAAATCTGAATTATTAGCCCCCCTTTATTTTTATCCAGAATTTCTGTTTAACAGAAAACGTATTTCTAAACATAATAGTTTTAATAACTCATTTCTAATAACTGATTTATATGTTTCAAGACACTTCTATACAGCTTAAAGTGACATTTAAAGGCTTAACTGGGTTAATTAGGCAGGTTAGGGTAATTAGGCAAGTTATTGTATAATGATGGTTTGTTCTGTAGACTATAGACTATAGCTTAAAGAGGCTAATAATTTTGACCTTAAAATAGTTTTACAAAATTTAAAACTGCTGTTTATTTATATGAAACAATACAAATAAGACTTTCTTCAGTGAAAGAAATATTATCAGCCATACTGTGAAAATTTCCTTGCACTGTTAAACATCATCTGGAAAATATTTAAAAGAGAAAAAAAATTCAAAGAGAGGCTAATAATTCTGACTTCAACTGTACATCGTCAAATTTAGAAAACAGAAATCAAATAACAGCATACGAGTGGTCAGTGTTATAGCAATAGGTTTTATATAAGCACAGGTCAAAGAGTTCATATTAAAGGTCCAAAATATATTCCAGGTTTCTAAAATTATGTGTATTTTGTTTTTTAAACTATATGTTAAATATTCCAAATGCAGTGTATCATTTATAATATTTTTAAATAATTCAAATGTTGGAGGGTGTTCCTGTTTTCAGTTTAACAGAAAACATTTCACAAGTCCACCCCAAAAAGATATATTAAAGGAGTCTTGTGATATTTCTTAACAGAAAACTTACAGTTGAAGTCAGAATTATTCAACCCCCTGAATTATTAGCACCCCTGTTTATTTTTATCCCCAATTTCTGTTTAACGGAAAGAAGATTTTTTTCAACACATTTCTAAACATGGTTTAATAACTCATTTCTAATAACTGATTTATTTTATCTTTGCCAAGATGACAGTAAATAATATTTGACTAGATATTTTTCAAGACACTTCTATATAGCTTAAAGTGATATTTAAAGGCTTAATAAGATTATCTAGGCAGGTTAGGGTAATAGGCAAGTTATTGTGTAACGATGGTTTGTTCTGTAGACTATTGACCAAAAAAAATTGAAAAGAGGGCTAATAATTCTGACTTCAACTGTATGGACAGTATACCAAAACTCATTTAGTTTTTCACAGTTCCAAAATATATGCATAATGGTGCCATTATGCAAAATATTGCTAAATAAAATGCCAAACTTAAACATTTTTTCGTGATGCTGTTATTCATGTTTCTGTCTGCATCCCCATAATGACGTGTAATTTTGCCCTCATATGTAAATTTAAAAAAATGACCATAGACATTGCATTTTATGACATTACAATATAAACAATAGAATGTAATATGAAACGATAGACTTTTTATTTTGTCTATACAATACATAGTCATATTGCACAGCGTTATTCATAAAAAAGAAGCAGAAGCAAAGCTAATAACATCTCTTATTTCCAACCTTTCCACAGGCACGGCAGTGATGGCGTCTCCAGGTCAGAGTGAACTCGCACGTGCAGATCATACACATAGTCGTTCGTAAATCTGGAATCCAGATAGGAGCCTTAGAGCCCAGTGGTAAACCATCGTCAGAGATTCCTTCCAGCTGCATGGGAAGAAAAAAAAGAATCAACATAAAACATAAGATGAACAGTTTAATTTATGTCAAGTTTCTTTGAGTGCCTTCACAAAGTGTCTGAAATATTGTATTATAATGATTGGTTGCTTTTTTTATTGCAGCTAGGTTGTTTATTATGCATTTAATGAATTTTAAATGGCACGGTCGCCTCACAGCAAGAAGATTGCTAGTTTTAAAGAATTTATAGTTTGTCAAGATGACTCTAATAGCAGCAAAAAAGTTTATGGCCTTCAAACGGAAATAAGAAGAATCCCTACCTCATATTGTATGGCTTAGTAAACTTTCTTCCTATGTTCATGTTAAAAAGTAATGTTCATTCTGAAAAAATATATATAATTTAGATATTACATTGACTGAATCTACTGAGATGGCAGGATAATGTTTATTGTATAAATTTTGATTATAGTTATTCATTTATAGATTTGTTTATTATTATATCTTATTGTTTATTATTATATCTTATTTTTTTATTTATTTTTTGTTCTTGCCATTTGTTTTTTCCTTCTGATACTGAATGTATGGCTCAATGTGTCGCAATAATGTCCATTAAAGTGGTCTGTCCAGAAAGGGGAGTGCAATGATTTGATTCTGTAAATTGCAGGTGTAAAAATAATAAATAATTAATAGGCCAAAGAAAAGTGAGGTAATATTTAAATTTAAACAGTACAAAAGGCAAAAAAATAATTATTTGTGGGTTTTTTTTTTTTTTGAGTTTTTCCTAGATTTATTTATTTTATTTTACAAAAATGTTGACATTGGATGGTATAATTATTTTGTTGTTAAATACTTTTGTTGTTAAAATCAAGATCTGAGTATCCCCCCTCCCCCCTTTAAATTAAGTAAACTTCAACATTAGCCTAATTGGAAACAGTTAAGCATGTTATTTGTGAATATTTTTATGTTTCTAAGGGTAAGGTTAACTTAATACTTTAATTGTTTGAAAAAAAAAACTATTAATTCCAATATAATTTTTTTTTTTTGTGTTGTATTATTTCACTGAATTTTAAAGCATTAAACTGGCTATTATAAAGTAATGACTTCCAAAAATATGTGATTAATATTAATTGATAAATTAATATTATAAATTAAAATAATAAATGAAAGCCTTTGTATCCACCTTTTAGCAGATACAGATATTGACAGACTAACAAGACTTGTATCTTATGCCATTTTGCATCTCAGATAAACACGATAAAACTGTTTATTATTACTTATAACAGTTCATAGTATTCTGAATGTTTTTAACTAGTTAAATTCAAGTACTTGATGTAAATAAAACAAAAGAAAATTGTCGTTTAAAAAAATGGCTGTGGAAATCAATTAAAGAAAGCAAATATTGCCAGTTGACGGAATGGCATACGCACAAGAACAATAACCCTACACACAAACACAAGAACGCATCTTAAATTTCACACACCTCTTGGCTTCGACTGGAGAAGAACGAAATCTTCTTTCTGGTGTAATCATCTATTGCTGTAGCAATGGCTTCCAACCATTCATCTCTTTCAGTCGCTGAACTGCAAACATCACGTTTAGTCAGTCATTTCAACTCGATTCAAAATGATTTCCAGTTTTGACATAGCTGAAAATCACATGCTTGTGTGTGTTTCTTACTTGGCAGACAGTATGAAGGATCTTTCAACACTCTCAATGTTTAACTCATTCTGATACGCCTCCTGACTGGGTTTGCTCACCTGTTGAAGACATGGAACATAAACACTTATATATAAAATGTCATATGAATGCGTGTTTGAGAGAGTGGACATATTATGGATAATTGATATCTGACCTTCATGCCAGCCAGAGAGAGCATACTGTTGACTTTATACTGTCCAGACTGCACTGGTGTTGTGTACAGCAGGATGTCATTAAACTGTTGAGAGAATGAACATTGACTGGGTATCAAAAAACAAGTGCTAGCTTATTCAGTTTCCTGTGATATGCAGCAATTTCCTGTACTATAAATAACTTATGTTATAAATACATATGTGTCAATTTAAAAAAAGGTTCACACAGGTCCATGAAGGACAAAAATGTCTCTGTCAAAACAAAAACAATAAAAGTATCATATTTTAACTTTAACACGTTCATAGATTTCTTCGGAAGCAGTAGTCCTGATGACTAGGACCAAAAATTCATAATTTTTTGTCAAAAACTTAAGATGTTTACATTATTATTACCAAAATTCTAACAAAAAGTAACAAATATGCTGTCTTTTTAGCTTTAACACCCCAAATCAAATTTTCAAATACTAATTGTGTGGGTATATCAATGCTGGCTAAAACAAAAACACACACACAAACAAAAAAAATGTATATATATGTGAATGAATAAAAAAAAAATCAAACAACAGTCTTAACATTTAGAATTGAAAAAAAAGAAAAAAACATGCATACCCACCAAAACTACCGAATAAATAATATTAAAATATGATCAAAATAAGTAGCTTTATGTAAATGATACAAAAACAACCCTGTTCATTTTATTAAGCAATAATATATTTATGTTTCTTACCAGGAAGAACATTCTGGGCTGCATAACTTTCCTAGAAAGTTTCATTAAAGTGCCCTCTTTCAAGAAAACCTGCATATGTAACAAAAACAATACATTAGATAAGCAAAACAAGACACTTCAGAGACTGTTCAGATACACAATGAATCATGGGTAACTGAGTTTCTCACTCTGCCAGGCTGGACAATTTCATGGTGACCATTCAGACTGTACTGAACCTGCATCAGCTTCTGAAAGTTGTCCTGCATTAAAGAGATGCACGTTAGAAGATCATTGTCATCAGAGTTTAATAAGTGTATGTGGTGTTGTGTTTGTAGTTTTACCCCTTGCTTCATGATGTCATTTGCATGGTTTGCCACTTCTTTTACCACACTAAGAGCCGCTGAATAAATCAAACAAACAATTGATGTCAACAGAACATCGGGACAGTTTTTTTTTTTTGTATTCATTAAACAAGTGTTAGATTTTATTTAATTTTGGTTTTATTTTGCAGCAAATCTCTGAGATAACGTGAGATGCTTGAGAGCTTTTTATATTAACAAATCAATTGTAGCATTCTGACTTTTCTGAATATTTTGGTAAAACAAAATAAAATAAAATAAAATCCCCATAATTTGGCATTTTTAAGTAAAATCAAAGGGATTTAATACACACAAAACTCATTTTAAATGAAAGTACTTTCATGTTTCAAATAACCGTAAAAATAAAAAAGTCAAAATATGATTAAATTATGTTTTAACATCATTTAGTGCAACATAATCATGCAAAAAGTTACAATGTCTAAACAGTAAAAATACACATTTTATTCATTTTTTAAAAGATTCATAATTTCTTGCAGAAAAATGAGGAAAAACTAGCTGAAATGATCACTGTAACAATAAATTTGTATTTTGGTCTTGCACTGTGATCCTTAAAGGGCACCTATTTTAACCCTTTTTCAAGATTTAATATAAATGTTTGGTGTCTCCAGAATGTGTCTGTAAAGTATCAGCTTAATATACCCATCAGAGTATTTATTATACCTCTTTAAAACTGGGAAATTTGAGCTGTTATGGCATTGTAACTGTTTTTGTTGCCTGTGCCTTTAAAGCTGATTCTCCCCGCCCACTGTTCCCATGTGCGCGCAAGCTTCACGTAAACAGCACAGTGACAGACAAGAATAAAGCAGATCTCCCTTACTACAGTAAGAACTTTATCAAAAGTAATTTGTTATATTTGTTGATGAGTTAATTCAAGCCTTTCTGCAATGATGAGTCACACACAATTTCGTTATTAAGTTCGCTCGCAAGTACGTATTTTACTGTATTTATTACAAACACGCACTGTTTTAAAAATGTTTAAAACTATTAAAACTCATTGTTGATCACATTTGATGCTGATTGATGATCACAACAAGCTGAAAAGATCTTTTAATCCCTGTTGCTTTGCGCACGTCCTGTCTTGTTAATATGATTATACGCGTTACTACAGAGACATGTTTATACGTGACTGCCAATCAAATCGGTAGGCAGGGAAACCACATTCCTATGCAATACATGCTTATTGTGTTTCGATCACCCCAATATGACTGTGGACACATTATACCTACACACAGTTCTGTTCAAATAGCTTACAAAACATGTTTTAATCATAGGTGCCCTTTAAGTAAAGTTTTTTTTTTAATCTCACCAAATGGTTCTTGATCTAAACATACTTAAACTATGTTTTAGTAAATAATTAACAGTCAGACTGATAAACATTCACTCTGAATTTGTGTTACTCTGTATAAAACCAGGCCATTTTATTAGATTTTTTTCACTGGTCTCTGGTTATTTTATTAATGATGTGCTCTTACTTTGTGTGTCTTTGTAGTCGGAAGAATCCTCAGGAAGATTTTTTAAATAATCTAAAAAAAGAGACAAAAAAAGGTCAAAGATATTAGTTTTATTAAAATGACATTCATTATGCTATTTTAAAGGTTTCTATTTTGCTTAGGAGGTCTTCTATTACATTATAACATAGAATTATATGTTATAATGTAATAGAATTATATGAACATTATATATTATGTGTTTTTATTTTCTCATGATATATAATGCAGGTTTGCTTCATTTCTCTAAGGGTGACTTCACACTAGCTCTTTTGGTGTGCACCCAAGCCAATATGACATCAGAGTTCTATTTAAAAAGCATTTTGCTTCATTGCAACTCCTCACCTTTCCAACATTTGGTTAACACATCTTATGGTTTCCTCTCTCTAGATTCTATCCAGGGCTCTACAGATAAATTCTAGAAATGTAAACCCTAAATTTATTTTACTCTTTCACCTCATTAGTTCCTGATTGAGTTAATCAGGGCTAAATTAGTCCTTATGTTGCACTGTACTGCTTGGTTGTGCGAGTACTCTTCCTGAACTGTATTTGCTCTCTATTTCTTATTATAATTTATTGTTTCTTACTAAAGAGACAGTTTACCCAAAATGTAATTTCTGCCATCCTTTATTTATCCTTTACGAGTTTCTTTCTTGTGTTAAACACAAAAGAAGATATTTTGAAATAGGTTGCAAACCTGTAAACATTGACTTCCATATTAGTTGTTTTTTTCTAATATAGAAGTCAATGGCTACAGGTTTTGATGGATGGATAGATGGGTTTGAATCTTGCAATCAACCTAAATATGAAAGCAACCTCAAATGGTATACATTCAAAGATCTAGGGCTCTATTTTGATGATCCATGCACAAAGTGCAAAGCACAGGGCGCAAACGCATTCAGGGCTTTTCAGAATCCACTTTTGCTAATATAAGGACGAAAAAATCTGCTTTGCGCCGTGGCGCATGGTCTAAAAGGGTTGAGCTTATTTTCTTATTGAGTTATAAGTGTGTTTTGAGAATAATCCAATCAGAGTCTCGTCTCCCATTCGTCTTAAAAGTTAGTTGCGTCACGCCATGGCACATTTGCTTTTTACATGTCGTAAAGTAAGTGTAAGTGGAAAAACTGAGCTTTTTACCAGCAAGAAAACAGTTAAACAGAGCATCTACAGCGTGAGAATGAGTGATAAGCCTCCTCAATATCTACTTTCACTTTCGCTCTCGTGGATAGGGAAACCTTGTACGCACAGACATCAATTAGCCTATAAATAATTAATTTCAGTTGTTTTAACGCAAAGATTTGTTTCAAAACTATTTCTAAATTCAGTTCTAATTTCCATAAAAAAAAAATGAACAATAATAACAAAGTGTGGTCAAAAACCTGAGTTATATCCTAATACACATGCTGTGCCCCATATGGTCTAACATCTGACAGGTGGGCAAATCTAAGCTTGTTTTATTAAAACAAACATAAATATGGATATAATAAATAATCCTGCTAATAATAATAACATTATACAAAAGCAAATCGTCATGAATAAACTGAAAAAGCCCCCTGAAATGAAGAAGGCATGAAAGTATGGTTTTTATATTTATGTAGGCTAGAAAATAATATGTTTTGTAATATTTTAATCCTTTATATTTATATCCTATATATATCCTTATTATATCCTATTAATCCTATCCTCATCCTAATCCTATATCCTTTTAATTATTTTTCATTTGTAAAGATATTTGCGTATTGCTCTACATCTTGTGTGTAGTAAGCAGTGTGTAAGCAACGCGCACAACTAACGCGCTCTGCACTGGACAATAGACCGGCTTTGTTCTGGTCTATTGAAAAATCTATTATAGTTTTTCAAAATAGCATTGCACCAGCAATGTGCCTTAACACGCCTTCCTCTTTAGACCAGAACACCAATGAGCGCACATGTAAGTGCAAATACATTTGCTATTTAAACAGTGTGGCGCAAAACGTCAAAACGACTCTTGTGTCAAGCTGAAACTTGCAATCAACAATTGTGTCCGGTGTGTACCGGGTGTATGATAGGGCCCCTAGTGTCACATTTATAAACTTCCCATACAAAAGTTAAACTTAGTAACTCACTAAATAAGTGAATTTAGTGTTCAAAACCTAATGCAGAGCAGCCACAAATCTGTGCAGCAGATGGAACAACTGTATATGGCTGATTGAATTTTAATGATATCCACCTGTGCTGCTGTTGTTGCTACAGTAGCACAGTGTTTACTCATCTGTTTACCTGTGAGCAGAAGCTGGTATTGAGGGATCCGCTGCACCGGTTTCAGCAGGTAATGCTTCAAAGCAAGACTAGCACAGCGAGGACTTGTCTGAGGAAGAATGAGTCAAATATCAGAGGGTCATAAAACCTTAAAATGATGTTTACATATATAGAGTTTCAGCGTTAAGGCTGATTTATACTTCTGCGTTAAACGCATCTGACGCATAGCCCTTCGCCGTGGCCATCGCCGTCACTGACGTGCACCTCTCAAAAAATGTAACTACACGTCGCAACGGCGCGTAGCGTAAGCTCTGTGATTGGTCGGCTTGGTAGCGCTGACGAGTCTGGGCGGGACCGAGAGCCGCGCGAATGGCGCGAGCGATTGTTTACAAGTGTGGAGTACCGTGAAGGAGCTCCGGATAGAAAGTTTTGTTTTGTGTTTACCTCATAGTTAAAGTTGTTGCACGTCCGCCGGTACCTGCCTCAAAATGAGCGAGTTTGAGCCACTTGTACATCCCGGAAGTGTTCAGGAAAAGCAAAAAAGCAGAGAAGAAACTCGACACAGAGGAACATTAACACCTCACTGCCCACTAGCGTTTCGGAAGTGTTAATGCAGACCGACAGAGACAGTGCGCAGAAGTATAAATGCACAGCCACGCGCGTTTCCTGCACCGTGGGTTACGCCGGTCACTTGACGCAGAAGTATAAATCAGCTTTACTGCACATTTATTTGCAAAAACCTAACTGATTCGATACATTCGTCGAGTCTTCCTTTGTTAAGTGTCATTTTATTCAGAGACATGGGTGGTTTTTTTGTGCCATCAAAAAAGTGTTGAGTTGCACAAAAGTAAGTACTTAATTAAACAAATATTAGTAACAGTAATACATAGTGATAAAAGTATGCAGTTTAATCCATACAAAAGAAATACAAAGTATTTAAAGTAATAAAAATTAAATAAAATATAATAAATTATAATATTAATACAGTTAATGATAAATGTTAAATTCATACAAAACAAATATAAATATCTGAATAAAATAATAACAATAAATACAAATTTAATTAAGAGTGTAGTGAATTCTCAATTATATAAATTGCTGAATTTTCATTTATTTAGACAAGTTTTGTATAATTTATTTTAAGCTTTAAACATATTTATATATGATTTTATAATTGTTATAACGCTAGATTTGTCTGCTATCTAATCTATACAATCTAGCAATTTAATTTGTGTTTTTTTACGCTAATATATTTTTAAAATGTGCGACTATTTATTTGTTACTGTATTAAATGGATTACTGTTATTAACTTTGAATTTTACATTTTAAAACAACTTTAAGTACTTCATTCATATTCAATTCATATTCATATTTAAATTTTAACTACTTCATTCATACTTTAAATCATATTTTTATCACTTTACTCTAATCATTTCCACAATCAATGTACACATCTGGTGTCGGCAAAGGCAGTGAAACAGTTCATACACACCAACCTCAAACTGACGCACAACACTGGAAAAAGGGGGATTTTTGCGACACTGTTCATCCAGCAGAGCCACATTACGGTCAAACTCTCGTATGTACGTGGAGTACATTTTCAGATATGGACCCTTCTGAACGAAAATATCAGCCAACCTCTGGTGATCAGACCTGCAGAAGATGGCAGGCAGTAGTTTACAGTTCTTAAATATTTTTTTTTCCTGACAAGATTAAAAAAATCCCACAAAGGACTATTTGCCATATTTCTTTGCTGTTAGTCACAAAACATCTTTTATTTATAACTTGCTCTTTGGTTCTTTTTGGCATAGATTCAACTATTGGACATGTCTCTTCAACAGCAGACCTTGGCTGTAATGGCTAGTTATTTAGGTAACCATTGTCTCCTCATTGCCTCCTCAGGTCTTTGGATAATTCTGCATTCCGATGTTAATGTCCAAACATGTATTTATATAAGTTCAGTGTTGTTGTTGTTGTAGATGAAATATAACACATCGTGATTTAAGTATTTTCCAATTGGCTAGATATTAATTCAAAATAATTCATACAAACATCTTTACCGAAGCCTCTCTACTTGATGATTGGTCTTGGCATCCATAATTTTTGTTGTTTATTTACACTTTTCTTCCGCGTTTGTAGTTCTAATCGAATTCACGTCCAACGGCCAAGTATATTTAGTGACATTTTTTTACTGTTATTATTGTCCTTTTACATTTTTTTTATCCGCCCAATAACAAACAAACATCCACGAGCGATTAAGTACTGGATAATTTTCTCTCCTCTACTCATTTCATACTGCTCATTCTGTGTGTGCAAGAACAGTCAACACTCACATGCTCTGCATACCTACAGAGACCTGCACCTTTTTGCATCTCGCCAGCGCTTCCAAACCTACTAAAATGTCCGGGATTTGGTTTTGCTTTCATTTTCTAAGCTATTGTATTTTTTTTTTGCGCACAGCCGCGAGAGCGAGAGAGACATTAAATAATTATTTCTTTAATCTAAACGACTCCAAAAAACTTTACCAAATACTAGGAGAGGACGAAATTAAATCTAAATTGACTGAAACAGGTCTAGAAACAGGTCATTAACTTATTTGTCTTATTTAAAATAAGTTTTATTCCTGTAATTATTATAATTTATCAAACATATTGTCTGTTTTTATTCCTTTTTCTGTGGTTTAATTCCTATTTGCTGTATATTGTATTAATTTGATGATGTCAATATATTACATATTTTATTTAACATCTAAAATGCTTGGCCAATACTATACAAAATGTTATGCCAATAAAGCAACCTAAATTTGAATGAGTGATACAGAGAAGCAGATTTGACCTGTCAGTAGGTGCATGGCTCCTGAATAGCATAAAAGAGAAATAGTGAATTTTTATTTTTATTTTAACATATCTAAAAGAAAACATTTTAACCTGATAATCCCAAAAATAGTGTTAAAAATCAAATTATGTTTTGTTTGTCTTATATAGTTAACAATTTATGCAATGTGGGTAAAAGGTGAGTTTCAATCCAGCTACCACCGCAAGTATATTTCAAACCTGTGGTAAGCACTGAACACGCAATGTACTGTGGGCAATATCAGCGGTTAAAGTATGGAAGGTTCTACACTTAAAATTTTAACCATCTGGAAACCTTTGGCATACTCTTTTCAACAAACTACGATTCTGGACATACTAATTCTATTTTCAAATACTATTTAGGATGAATAGTATGCTAATTGGGACACTGCAAGTGTCTGCGCTTCTTCAATGCAAAATTTAAGTAAAATGCATCTGCAACATATTTCCTTCCATATTTGTGTGTGTGTGTGTGTGTGTGTGTGTGTGTGTGTGTGTGTGTGTGTGTGTTTTACCAGTGTGCCACTCTCTCCTCCAGCTCTTTCAGCAGGTCTTTGTTGAGTTCGTATAGCTGAGGCAGATAGTACAAGATCTGGTTCAACACTTTCTCCTCCACCAATGGTTTCCCGCTCGCACGAGTCGCCTTCGCAACTGCATCCCGGAAATCCTGACAGAAATAGAGATGTTAGCTAGTAACTAAATACAGGATGCAGCAACAAAACAAACACCACTAGACAAGATGAGTTATAGTGACAAACACATGCTTGCATCCACAAACTCCAACGATGACTTCATTTACAAGCATTTAAACAAAAGTTGTTCTCAATATTTTTGTGCTAAATCTTTTACAGTATAGGTAACGCCATCATCTATGAACAGTAGTCAACAAATGCAACCAAAGCAAAAATAAACATACTGAAGAGCATGAATAAGTCCATCTATAGCACAGGCCATATACAGCTACAACAGGAAGCAGAGAGAACATTTCTCTCATTACTCATACATGCACATACACAAACAAACACACTAGGGCTGCACAATATACAGTTTCAACATCAGTATTGCAATGTGATTGTGTAAGATTTCAAGCTAATTTAAACCATTTGGACACACAGAACAAAATAAAAGTGTGGAGATTCAACAAATAATAATTTAATTTAATTATTTCTACAATAAAAACTATAGTCCTAAGACTTTTTTTCCTAAGAGGTTTTAGGCTTTTGAGGAAAGGTAATGATGTAGGGCTGCATGAAAAAATGGACATTGTGATATTTTATAGTTCTGCTATATATATTGCGATATTGATATGATTTCACAATATGACTTAAGTAAATGTTTGGGAAGAATTTACAATTTTAAATTGATTTACATGATTTTGTAGGAGAGAATATGTCTGCATAAAATATCCTATATAAATATATAAGTATACAACTCGATTTATACAACAGTTCTGTCTGGTTCTCAAATCTGATTAGCTGATAGCCATGTGATATTCTGCAATATCAGAACTCCTACAGCCTCTTTACCCTTTGTGTATTACTCCGCCCACATACAACCAGTAAGAAGCAGACACTAGAGATCTAAAGTTTAAAAGATGCACACTCAAAAATAATATCACAACTCTGTATTTAATCAAAGAAACATGATGGAACCTTGGGTAATTAATCAATACGAAGTGCAGTTAAAGTTTTTTTTTTTTAGAAAACAAGTTTATGTTCAATATGACCCCCTCCAGACACTCAAGTGACATTAACCCAGCACTCTCTGTAGGATCCAGTACATAACAGTTTGAATAGCTGCAGTTATTCCTTCTTTTAGTTTCTTAATGTTAGCTGGTAAAGGTGGTTGAAACCATATCTTTAACATACTCCTATAGAAAAAAAATAAATAAATCAGGGGGGGTAATGAGCTGCCTGGAAGATCCATTGCTTTAGGTACGCTTTCATTTAAATAGGCACGGACAGATAAGTGCCAATGGGGTGGTCCCATTTGACGTGCTTCTTCTGTCTTTATCGAGCTGAGGGAACAGCCAATTCTTTCCAGATAGGTTTGCGCAGATACAGTTGCCCCTTCGAGTAAACAACCAAATGACACTTCAGAGCTTCCTTCAATCGACATCAGAAAGAGTTTTGCTCATCTTTTCTTCTGTGCAGAGTTCTCGATTGAAGTAGTGGTATTCTTTTTGAATCACCCTGTATATATGTATAATTATAATTGATATATAAATTATATATAATTTAAGCACAGATAAAAAATAAATAAACAGTGCTTTATAGTTTTTGGTGGAATATTACAAAATCGAGGTACAAAAATTCAATTATCAAATCTAAAATAACGCTGTACAGTTTTTTTGATAAATATTTAAGCACAATTAATCTTTGTTAAAGTGGCAAATACTGACTACTGTATATAGTGTTATTTACATTTGGTTATTGAATTTCTCTACCTCAATACAGTTAAGCTCTCCAGAAAACCATAAAGCACTGCTTATTTCTTTAGTATATTTGGTTTATTGTATTAATTTATGCTTCTAATTTGTTTAATACTGTATATTATAAGCAGAAGCACCCCGTCAATGTAAAGTCATCAATTCTTCCTAAATATAGTTAATTAAATCATCTTCAGAAATTATATTAAAAGTGTAATATATATCGCAGAAAAACAAAATATCGCAATGTCAGTTTTTTTCCTACATAGTGCAGCATTCTTGGCGCACACACTCTCACAAACTCACACACGCACACACACATGCATGTGTTTAGGACAGCTGTTCGGGGTCACGGCCAAACAAGTGGGTTACAGGGAGGGTGGGTGTAATTTCTTTCCGAAAACTCTCTCTGTGTGTTGATCTCTTATTCCTTTACCCCAGCCTCTGTGGAAAAGCTCTTCCTCTCGTCTTTCCTCTGCTGTCTCCTGTCTGATTACAGTCTCTCCTTTTCTGAATATCCCTCTAGTCCTTTCTATTAGTCACTATATATATTTGTGGCAATTACTTGTATTCTTTTTATGGCAATTATGTTTAAGCTCTAAAGGCTGGGTTATAAAGCAATTAATGATAATATCTATTCTAAAGATTTCCCTTAAAAAAATTCTAAAACATGTTTAATATTAGGGGTGTAACGAATCATGGGTGATTCATTAAAACTCGCAGTTCAGAACACACGTAACCAGCGGATTAATACATTTTTTTTTTACTTGTAGATTAAATAAATTTGTAACTAATCACAGAGAGATCACTCCTCGCATCAATCAAATCACATGTATAAAAGCATTTAGGCTTTCATGTAAATACATAATGATGATGGAAGAAGTTGTGGTGGGTTATTCGGGATGTGGTGGGTTTCTTAGGTTATTAAAGGTGTTTTCTGTCACTACTTGTTTAGCCTGCATTAATGCATTCATTTAAAGCTACATGATTAATCATTAAAAGATTGGGATCTCAACAACCACACAACATACATTATAAATGATAGTGATCTGCATATGTTTAATATTCGTTCGAATCACTTTTGAAAATGCAAAAATAGAATTAGTCTTAAGTTTACAAACAACAAATAACACAGAAGTACTGGGATAACAGTTTAGATATAACCAGTGATGTTTACGGTAAAGATTAAAATCACCATCATATGCATTTAACTTGGCTATAATAAATATTTGTAGGCAGCAATTATATTATTTAACCAACAAAAATATTCCACTGAATAATTATTTAAAAAATATCCATCTAGCAACGAAACATGAAGTTTTATGATTGAATAACTAAATCGTTAATTGAAAAAGTGACAAAAAAAATAAATAGGAGTTGTACAAATTATAATGTTAGATATCTACATTTAGCGTTATCAGCAACAGTAATAGTTACATTGAATTTTTCATTGTACTGAATATTTTACAAGTTATTTTTATTAAGCTGATTATTTCATCATTTTATTTTTAACAAAATTACAGCTTTGTCGTCTCCTCTTTTTGGCTGTTCCGAAAAATTATCCAATCTGTGACTAAAAAAAACATAATGTGATCGAACCATGAAAATTGTGATCAGTTTGTGACCACTATTTAGTATAATGTCCGAACAACACATGACTCAATGCTGTGACGTGATAAAAGGCATCTTTTCCATGTTAAAGAAACTGTTAACTGAAAGGCATTTTTTATCTTAGTGTTAGTATATTAGTCCTAAAGATATCGATAAGCTAGTGTGGTCTAAAACAGAGGCAAAATTTGCATTAAGAAGATCCAAAGATTGCGCCTAAATGACAATTTTTTGACACCTCCTCTTCAGATCTTCATCGAAGCTTTTGACCAATTTAATACTCTCTAGCATTCGGCATGACCCTCCCTCTTCGAGACAATTCTCATTTGCTTTTAAATTGATGAACTTGAGCCCAACCTCTCACTGGCAGAGCTGTGGTAAAAACACTATTGACTGTTTTTTTAAAAGGGGGGGAGCTACCTTATGTTCTGCTCTGTCTTCGTGTTTCAGTTGAGATTATATCAAACACTGAATAAAAAAATTGCACATTTCAAAGCACTTCATGCTACTTTTAAAGGAAGTTTCTGTCCTAACCATCTAATACACTTAAAACTGTACAAATTCATTGCATTTAGTGCAGTAATTCATCTTAAATTGTACATATCCACTGCACATATACATTAGTAATTATGCTCATATCTATCGGCATACTTCTAATTAATAATAGCAACCTGTACATATAATAATCTATTGTAAATCTCTGTTCATAGTTAATACAAACTGCATATAATGTCTATAGTGCATCCATCTGTAAATATCACACATAGTTTTTCTATAATTGCATTTTATAACTTATACCAATATCCTGCACTTGCTGCTATTGCACTTCTGTTTAGACACAAACTGCATTTCATTACCTTGTACTTGTACATGTGCAATGATAATAAAGTTGAATTTAACCTAATCTACTATGACAATGATTATTTTAGGTTACATTTATTGCCAGCAGATCAGATCGTTATTAATATAGAGAATAATAAAGCATACCTTTAGTTTAAATATGAACACCAGAACTGTGAACTAAGTGCAAACCAACAATACGAGGCACTCAGTATGTACTTAGAATAATGAAAATGAGATTTATTATTTATTAATTAGATTGTAAACATGTCATTCAGAATGTCTGTGGTATTTACATGCTTCTATCATGTTGCGTCTGGTGTGGATATCAGCTGAAACTAAGGTGTTATTGGTTATTAGTAAATTGCAGGTCAAAAATTCCATATTGGTGCACCCCTTAAGACATTTTTGCTATTATTAGCCTATTAACCTTTTAAAAGCCTTGCCTCATTGATGTCTATTGCATGTTTTTAGTTTCTTACCAAAAAAAAATAAAGAAAGAAACTGTTTTATGCTATTAACATAACGCAAATATCAAACAAATATAATAATACAAATATCTGAACTTGTAGTATAAAACAAATATCTGATCTTATACTGACTCAAGAACATTTCAAAGTCAATGGCTTGTTTTAAATGTATGCAAGTGTTGCACATGTTTAGTCATGATAACACACTTCCATACAGCATGCAGCTACTCATTAAAATCCAAAAATAAACCAACAGATGTGTCTGTTTCCCTCTATGATCCTGCTGCAACCATGAGAATCAAAATATATTCCAGAATGCATTCATGTGAAATGCATAAAAACACACAAACAATATGACTGGAGATACACTTCCACTCTAAACATTAACATTGCTCTGATGCAAACGTAGAGCCAGTGAAAACAGTGATGACTTACGATGTGAAGTAACTTCAGGACATCCACAAATCTGGAAAGATGCACAAACAAACAATTAAAACATAAATTCATCCAAATATTGCCCCTTAACCCCTCGGCTTTCCCCAGCATTTTGGTGTCCACATCGTCCCTTGCTTAAAAAGACCTGAATGACCTGAAAGTTTGAATAATGTAGTTTTTGGTCCAGATATTTTTCAGTGTAATTTAATCTGCATTTTATTAATATTAATGTAGGTATGTTTAAATTATTTTAAAAGTATATCTATACACATTTAGACATTTAAATTTCTATATATTGTTTAACTAAACAAGACATTTGTTCATGTAAACGAGCTGAAAAAGGGCACAAACAAGTACCGAACTTGACAATTTTGTTGATTTTCATTTAAATATTTAAAGACATTCAGATATTTAGATTTAAATAAAAATAAATAAATTAGGCAAATGAATAATTAATAAAAGCTAATTTTATTTCATAATTATTTGTTTAAAAATGTATATTATGTGCTATGTATTTGAATAGAAATCAGAATTGTATTTGAATAGAAATCAAAATGTATTTGAATAGAAATCAGAAGTTAGATATTTTTCAACAGATTTTTTTTACATTAACAAAAACTCATAAGATTTATTTATTTATTTATTTGTTTGTTTGTTTTTGAGAAATAATATAAAGGAAAGGAAGATGGTAAAATCAGTACATATAAACTACCAAATATGAATAACAACATTCTTAATGAAATGTATATCTAAAAAGGCTTGTGTTATTATTTGTCCTTTCAAACATCATGGAACATTAGTACTTACACTTTCTCTGAGCTCATGATCTCCATAGCGATGTGGACCACCTTGTTCCTCTTCGCCCGTTCTACCTCCTGAAGATACACATTAAAATTCTGTTAAAACGTTAGACCATTTAAACAATATAAGCTAAAGTGCCATTAACTTACACATTTGCTACATCCAACCATGACTTGAAACAATATACAGCCACATGGCAAAACAAATGCCCTAATTCTCTGTGTACATGAGTGTGGGATGTTTTGGGCTGGTGAAAGGTTGTGGTCTTTATTTGGATCAGGGTCTAAGCACAAGGACAAAGTTTGACTGAAAGCACCCCCTGTTTCTAAAATCGGGGTGTGTCTGGGAGTCTCTCTGGATTATCTCGAGACAGAAAGTCTGCTGGACACACCTTACCAATTCTGTACAAAGATGTTCTTTCTTTTAAAGCTTCTCTTCAAATAAAGATGAAAACATGATGACATCTCAACATATTTAAAAGGCACCCAAAAATGGAAATCATCATAGCCTCAAAAAAAGTCCCTGCTTCCACCTGATATTACAGGGACATGAAACCCTTGACTAAAGTTTTGTAAAGATTTTACAGTACCTCATAAAAGTCTCGTCGTCAATCCCAGTGGTAATAGCAAAAAGTAATAATGTGACTTCTAGTTGATCCATTTGAAAAAGTGTCAGAAAGTTTATTTTTCCAAATAATTATCTGTTGAACTGCATCCCAATCATCACAAATACATCAGTAGGCCTATTGGAACCCACATGGACCCAAGATTCTCACCGAAATCAGTCAAGTTTGGTGAAGGGAAAAAAAATCATGACTTGGATTTACATTCAGTATGGGGGTGTGCGAGAGATCTGCAGAGTTGATGGCAACATCAACAGCATGATGTATCAAGACATTTGTGCTCCCCACTCCACCTCATGCTGTGGCCAGCCCAGAAACCAGATATGAACCTTATTGAAGATCAATCCAAAAAATCTTGATAAACTTTGGGGGTCCTGCAAGAACGCTTTCTATGCCATTTCAGATGACTTTATTAATAAGTTGTTATACACAATATTATTTCTTTTTTAAACGCAACATGACTTTATATTCTGTACTCTGTTAAGTGATAAGACTTTTGTCTAAGCAAAGTCTGACCCTACTGTCCTAACTGAATAATTAATCATCAAGGCATGATCCTATTTTATTTTAGTAAAATAAGCATAATCTAGAGGACTTTGTCTTTCCTATAAGCCACTTCTGATACCAAATGATCAACTAGAAGTTAAGTTATTATTTGTTGTTGCCTAGGTAGTGTGTGTTTGTTAAACACAGGGAATCTGCAGATGTCAGCAAGTCAAATTTAAGACTTTAAGCCCTTTTTAGGAGCATTATAAATGACATTTCTAAAAAATTAAATTAAGTCAAATTGAGTTATTTCTAAGCCACATATTTTTTAAAAGATTTGTCAAAACAAGCAAATTCTGTTTTTTTTTTAAATATAACTTCTCTTTTTAAAAAATGTAAAAGTTTAAAAACTATTATGAACTAAATGTATGCACCACAGTCAGTCCAGGTCAGTGTCCTCACCAGGTAGCTAATAAATACATGAAGAACATTTTTAAAGAAATATTATTGTAAGCATGATAACTAAACCATATTAGTAAACCGAGTTAATAAATAAAACTTTTGTTAAACGTTTAGATATGTTTTGCTGGTTATTGGATGGCTGTTAGCCTGATTGGAAAAATAAGGCTGGTTTAAAATGAATTAGGGCCTACAGCACAATATTTCAGTGAATTGAATATTTTTTATTGAAATTTAAGAAATCAAGTCTTTTTGAGACCCCGCAGGCACTCTGAAACATCAATTAGGACTTTAAGTTAGCATCTGTTAGCTTTAACTGTAGGGAGCAACTAATCGTATCTTTTGTTTTTAATATCTACATTGGGGCGAAGTCATTTTGGGCCACACTGACAGATACATTTTAAAAACTCTCCTCCCAGTCTCCAGCTTTGCCCTATCATGCCCAATCCCCTATCTTCTGTTCACTAAAGTCCCTTCAAGTCAAGTCATTTCACTCGACAGCCATGTTTGAAACACCTCTCAGGCAGTATGCTCGGGCATTCTGTTTGAATAGGGAAACATCAAATTCTCCAAAACTGCCAAGTTAACGATTAAACATTTGGACTCACCAATAAAATTAAACAACAACTGTCTCATAAGTTTAGTTTCTGAACGTTCAAATCAAACAAAATCAGCATTTCTTCAGGTTGCCCAAGCTAATGCGCATGTGCACTCGAAAGTAACGAGATCACGACACCAACCTCAGTCATAGCCATTCTACACATTATCGCCCTCTGGATAATGATCGCGCTGTTGAATCTCCTCCTTTGTTTACAAGTTTGTAGATGTTTGAGTAGTTGCTGCTGTCATGTGATGTGTGTTTGACAGGACAGACTGTAACTCACATTAGTTTCATACAGATTACAAAACCAGAAAACTTTTGTTTTCAAGTGTACTTAGTTCATTTAAGTACAGATTTCAAGCTTTATGTGAATATATTTTTTATGTCTGGGAAGCAAGCATTTGCTGAGATTCCAGTATGTTTGGTGAACACATAAAAGCACAAGTTTGGTCTGGTCTGAGCTTCTCTCACGGAGAGTCATCAGTCTATAGTGATCGATGATTGGCTCCTGTATTAATAAATGGGGCTTCATTCGCCATATTGACCCCAACCCTTTTCCCTATTCAAAAATATACGAGTGGCACGTCTTGTGTATTCTGTAGTATTTGTGCTCACAGCTTTCTACACACATATATGTTGCATTTAAAAAAAGGTCTGAAGTAGACTTGAACTGAAAGAGTGTGGTTTCATGACCAAGCAGTCAGTCAGTCTAGACACAATAAAGGGTCATCAACTGCACTATAAAAACATTGTGTAAGTTTCAGAAATCGAATTCAATTTGCCAAAATAGAAAATGTAGTGCTATTTTTTTATGTAATAGTGGCTCTAAAGTCTTCCCACTGCTTATATATTACTGGCTTTAGATTAGCTGTGGCCACTTATTCATAATATTGCATGTAAATAATGAGAGGCAAATGCAGGTCAACAGAAACCAAACAATGAAATGCATTGAAGATACCAAGTATTAACAAGTTGTGGAAAAACAGACTTTGCTTCTGGTGTCAAAGTAATGAAAAAGTGGAAGTTTACTTTATTTTACAGTGGATTTATTTATTTATTATGGATCCAAAGGCACAATTTGATGAAGGATTTTCATAAAATGAAAAGGCAATGCTTTGTCAGATATATTAGATCTTACAATAAAATTGCACCACACTAATGTAAGTAATTGTTTTTATTATATGTTCATTATTCATTGGTATTTTACTATTTTTATGTCAAGACAGTATATTGACAGGAAGCGTTTGAGATCAAGAGGGATGGGAAATGTCAGTGACTTGGGACTCAAACGTGCACACAGTGTAGTTTTTGATTCTCTTTTGGTAAATCCAATATCATCACATGTTCGGCAAGTAAGTGGAAATGAACTTTTGTGGGTGAAAGTGGTCAAGCTCAAAATGTTTTCGACTAAAGCTAACACTGGAAATAGCATTAATGAAAATGCAGTGTAATATCAGGTGTAAGTGGAGCCTTTGACTTTTGTTCTTCTTTCAAAATGCAAAAAAAGTCATTGTAATGAAACCTAACAGATTTTAGCTCCTGTTTGGATTGGTTTAGATCACTAAAGCATATTACAGGGCAGTTCATCTATTGTTGAGATTAACAGCAACTGAATTAAGATTCTCTCACACAAGTCTCTTGTTATTGTATCTTTCAGGTAACCATTTTTTGAACGAAAAGGTGACTGTTGCAGTTGACATTGCCTACTTGCCCACTTTGACCCGGGCTCGGACAGATGGGTAATTCCAGCAGAGTGCTCACAGCAGTTGCAAACTCGCCTTCATTACACACTCAGGCCAACAACAGCTGGATGTCCCTCCTGTGTAACAGCAGTTCTTCCTCTCCAATCTGAACTTCAGATTGTGAGTGTCGTGTTATTACTCTACACTGTCTGAAACTCACTGTCTTCTACTTAATAAATTGTGCTCTATGATATGATAGTAGAGGTAAACCTAAACTGGTCTTACAGTTCGGTTCGGTTACGATTATCATGTCATCGATTCGGTTCAATTCAATATCTCAGTGCATCGACGAAGCTT